ATCTCACCAGGGCCCATCTTCTCAAAGTCAGTCATGCTGCAGTTGTGAGTGTAAGTTATCCTTCCTTTTCTCATAATTTATACTGTCCCATTGAATTCTTATTGCCCTGTAATGTGAATGAAGAATTTTGATCATAAGAAAGTAAAGTGTAATTTTCACTTCCAGCTCATTGGAAGAAGCTCTTTAGAGTTGTTGAGGACACAAGGCTTGCTGCCTTGTGTCCAATACAACACAAGACTCCTACATCTTATGGGTCAAGCAAAGGAAGTACAGGACCTCCCCAAGTGCCCCTATGATGGATTGCCTTTGACCACAGAAGTAGACCTGAGGAAATTTGATGGGTTTTTAAGAGGAGAAGAAAATTTCAAATTCATCTGTAAGTCATAAGTTTTTTAAGAATCTTCTCTTTGATTCATGGACTGATACAGGCAAATAATGGAATTATACTGGACTAAAATTGGGATGCACCAATCAGGTATACCTGATTCAGATACTGACAGCAACACCTTACAAGGGGCTGTCAGAGTTGAAGGAATATGGACCCAGGCCTTCACTGCTGCCTTAGTAGTAGCAGCCTTAGTAAGTGTTACGCAACTTTAGGCATCTAAAGGAAGAAATAATAAGTCCTTGGACATGCAAAAGGACACAGCTCTCAAAGGCACTCCTGCTTCTTACTCAGCTCTGGAGACATTTACTTTTCCTAATGTATTAACCTCTTGAGTACAGGCCAAAACTTCCCGCGCCCACCTCAACCGCCACCGCAACTCCTGTTCCGTCATTGGCCATCGGTACGAACCAGTCAGCTGACATTTGTGATACATGATATGGGGGGTGTGGGTTTGACTAATAATTGTTTCTGAATATAATCTGAAGTATAAATTGAAAGGGGAGTATACAATGGGTTACTCAGCTTGGATTCATCCCTACCTTCACTTTATGCAAATATTTTTGTTATGGAGACAATATGTTGTATTTTGAAAAGGAGAAGCTTGCTCTTTGTTTCAGGAATTTCCAACTTGTTTATTTACCTTTGTTGTCTGTTTTAATTTTTGTGAGAAAATTATGAGTCTTGATTTTTGTTATGGAGACAATATGTTGTATTTTGAAAAGGAGAAGCTTGCTCTTTGTTTCAGGAATTTCCAACTTGTTTATTTACCTTTGTTGTCTGTTTTAATTTTTGTGAGAAAATTATGAGTCATGTGATTTTGCAAATTAGATATCATTTTAAACACCTGTAGTAGTACATATTTAGTCCCTGAGGACCGAAAAGACTGAATAACATGTCATGGTGAATGATTCTTTGAGAGGCCAGTGCAATTGCCAGGTGACTTGAGGGCACTTTTCATTTTTTATACATTAAACACCTTGCAGGCATATATGGACCCCTGTTTCAAATTTATCTGATTAATCACAATTGGTCATCTCCTTTCCATATTAAGGAATTCACTCTTCTTCCTTGGATAAATCTCAGGTGGTGTTCTTGAGTACCTTGGGAGGGTTTGGTGTCATGGATTCCACATACCGGGTCATGAGGCATCTCATGACTAATCATCTTGCTTGCCAGGTCAACTGGATTGGAACTTACAAGATGGCCTTCAGAAACATGAGAGTCAAGGATCTGGTTGTCAGTGAGTATCCATTCATATTAATTTCAGTCATGGATGACTTATCAATGCTATTCACGTTTCTGATGTGCATTTATTTTGCCATCTCTTTCTTTTCACAAGAGGCTATGAACAGAACCAGGGCTCAAATTACTATTACTCATAAAGCCTCTCTGGTCTTTCTGAATTTGAACCTTAATCAATACCTGGCTCAGATTTTTTTATGCATTCAAGCAGGATTTATTTTTTATTTTTCATTCATTTCATTCATTTTTCCACAAGCACTACCCAATATTGGTATTGGTCATTTCTGAATTTGAACCTTAATCAATACCTGGCTCAGATTTTTTTATGCATTCAAGCAGGATTTATTTTTTATTTTTCATTCATTTCATTCATTTTTCCACAAGCACTACCCAATATTGGTATTGGTCATACCTGGGTCGCTATATCTCGCATTTCAGGGTTGGCGCATGCTATATTGACCCAGTTGGTTATTTTCACACAGCCTGGCTAGCCTTTTTGAAAGTGGGTGTGTATTCCACTGGACTAATAATCTGAATTGAATGAACATGGATTGTATCCCAAGTTCCAAAGTCCTGTTCTCTCAAGAAAGTTACTAAACAGGTTGGGCCTGAGTTAATGACTCACTCTTTAAATGTTATAAGTTTGGAACAGTTGCATGTACAAGGTATTTCACTTATTATTGTTGGGTATCATGTCCATCTGCAACAATCGCCATGTTAAATAACATGGTGGATGTACACTTGCCTCTTGAAAAAAAAGAAGAGTTATATACATGATATCATTTTCCATAATGGACAATTTTACAGAGGTACAAATAAGAACTCAACAGGAACTTAGAGAGCCAGTGCCTGATCAGAGGACAATCACTCTGTCCTCAATCCAACATATCCTGAAGGACATAACATGCAGACCTTATCATAACTGTCTCTTTCATTTACATCGTGTAAATGATCCGGACTGGCACATACTCTTTCCTGAGGAATGTTTGTGGCAACTGGAGGAGAAACCCTAAAAGGGTGGATCGTGTTGTCTGGAGCAGTGATGTGAAATTCCCCTTTTTAGGGGAGTGTGAACCATCACAACTGCTTAGGCACTGGCTCTCCAAATTCCTGTTGCATTCTCCTTCATACCTCTTTAATGATGTCTGTTATAGAAAATGATCTCACGCATCTAACTCATTTTTTAAAGAGGCAGGTGAACACCCTCAATGTTGCTTAATGTGCCACCAGTGTTGCAAATGGACATGACTACCCAACACGTTTGGTGAAAATGTGAGGGGTGATCAAAAAGTAACAAGACAAGGCCAGTAATTGTGAATGCAATATATTTTAGAACCTGTTATGCATGTATTGTGACCCTATTTTGAACTTCAGCATCTGCATTGAAATCATGTTCGCCGAGGTGTTTCTTCTAAGGCCTGAACAGATGGAAGTCACTGGGTGTCATGGGAAAGCTGGTACTTCATGTCTCAACCTGGGTAGTGACTATGTGGAGAAGTAATGTATGGTAGGTACTACCACAATACATGCATGACAAGTTCTAAAATATATTGCATTCGCAACTACAGACCTTGTCTTATTACTTTCCAATCACCCCTTGTACATGTAACCATTCCCAAGTTATAAAATTTTAAAGAGAGTGTCATTGCTTCTGACACACCCTACATACTAGTATTGGTTTCTTTTAACTTTCATTACTGGTATGCATCAGATTAAAAAGAATGCAAACATCAATAAGGGATAATACCTTGTTGTCCAGAAAGGGTAGAGGCACCACTTCATTGTAAGCTACCTATGCCAGAAATCCCTCCCTTTAACATATTGATTGGACTGATTCCAGTTTGACTTCTGGCTGATGTTTTTTTAGGATGGTATACAATTAAAAATAGTCCACAAATAGGTGCCCATATATGAACTGGTGCCTCTACCATATATGAATCTTTGAATGAGTGTTTCATGCACATGAAGTTGATATCAAAATTGGAACCTTGAAGGAGTTCGAATGTCACTCCAGTCTTCTGTGAAATGCTTTGTATTCACATAGGCAAATATACTCTTTGCACAGTACTTCTCCATAATAAAAATATCTCACTTGCATTTATCTTATACATAGCCATTATCTCTGATGTTCTCTTATTCAAGGAGCTGTTGCTGTTTCTTCTGGTGGAAAGTTAGCAGATGTGGAACAGAGCATCCGAAAATTCATAAAGAATGCATCTGACAGGGAGGGGGGAAGGGACTTTCGCAGGAGGAAGAAGATGGAGACAGGGGCCACATAAAGAGATTGAAGCAGATATGATATAATGTTTTGTTTTCTTGAGTTAGTTACGTTAAATCTCCCAACAGAGCTTCTGCTAAATAGAAGCAATTTTTTTGCAGTACTTGATGGTGCACACTATCTGGACTTTTTCCATTCTTTTTTTTTTCCAAGCAGTAATCATTCAATCGAGCAATCTCTTCCCTGTTGCTTTCATTAAATTGTCTACAAACAGGTGCCTGCCAACGATTGAATGATACTTCTACCCTGCATCCCAAGAATTCAGTGGTAAAGCAGGGTACTAAGTAAATTGTGGAAAGCTGCACTGCTCAGATAGTAGTTGTATTCTGGACCAGTTGCATTTTATGAGCTCCTTTCAGATGCCTGTGTCATTTTTGTGATATTTTTTTCATTGCTCAAGAATCTCAGGAGTTGCTGCAACTAGTCTAGTCACTTTTGGAATCAACTGTTATCATACTAAATTGCTGCAAGATTAATGACTAATAGTTACTTGGCATAACTTGATCTCAAAGATAATTATATCTATGAAAATGCCTTCCTATTTTGTGTTTGTGACAGAAGGTCTGAATGGAAAAGTGAGAACTTATTTACTTTGATTTAAAATGATAGTTTTTTTANTTTCTGAATTTGAACCTTAATCAATACCTGGCTCAGATTTTTTTATGCATTCAAGCAGGATTTATTTTTTATTTTTCATTCATTTCATTCATTTTTCCACAAGCACTACCCAATATTGGTATTGGTCTTACCTGGGTCGCTATATCTCGCATTTCAGGGCTGGCGCATGCTATATTGACCCAGTTGGTTATTTTCACACAGCCTGGCTAGCCTTTTTGAAAGTGGGTGTGTATTCCATTGGGCTAATAATCTGAATTGAATGAACATGGATTGCATCCCAAGTTCCAAAGTCCTGTTCTCTCAAGAAAGTTACTAAACAGGTTGGGCCAGAGTTAATGACTCACTCTTTAAATGTTTTAAGTTTGGAACAGTTGCATGTACAAGGTATTTCCCTTATTATTGTTGGGTATCATGTCCATCTGCAACAATCGCCATGTTAAATAACATGGTGTATGTACACCTGCCTCTTGAAAAAAAAGAAGAGGTATATACATGATATCATTTTCCATAATGGACAATTTTACAGAGGTACAAATGAGAACTCAACAGGAACTTAGAGAGCCAGTGCCTAATCAGAGGACAATCACTCTGTCCTCAATCCAACATATCCTGAAGGACATAACATGCAGACCTTATCATAACTGTCTCATTCATTTACATCGTGTAAATGATCCGGACTGGCACATACTGTTTCCTAAGGAATGTTTGTGGTAAATGGAGGAGAAACCCTAAAAGGGTGGATCGTGTTGTCTGGAGCAGTGATGTGAAATTCCACTTCTTAGGGGAGTGTGAACCATCACAACTGCTTAGGCACTTGCTCTCCAAATTCCTGTTGCATTCTCCTGCATACCTCTTTAATGTTGTCTGTTATAGAAAATGATCTCATGCATCTAGCTCATTTTTTAAAGAGGCAGGTGAACACTCTCAGTGTTGCTTAATGTGCCACCAGTGTTGCAAATGGACATGACTACCCAACACATGTTTGGTGAAAATGTGAGGGGTGATCAAAAAGTAACAAGACAAGGCCAGTAATTGTGAATGCAATATATTTTAGAACCTGTTATGCATGTATTGTGACCCTATTTTGAACTTCAGCATCTGCATTGAAATCATGTTCGCCGAGGTGTTTCTTCTAAGGCCTGAACAGATGGAAGTCACTGGGTGTCATGGGAAAGCTGGTACTTCATGTCTCAACCTGGGTAGTGACTATGTGGAGAAGTAATGTATGGTAGGTACTACCACAATACATGCATGACAAGTTCTAAAATATATTGCATTCGCAACTACAGACCTTGTCTTATTACTTTCCAATCACCCCTTGTACATGTAACCATTCCCAAGTTATAAAATTTTAAAGAGAGTGTCATTGCTTCTGACACACCCTACATACTAGTATTGGTACTTTTAACTTTCATCACTGGTATGCATCAGATTAAAAAGAATACAAACATCAATAAGGGATAATACCTTGTTGTCCAGAAAGGGTAGAGGCACCACTTCATTGTAAGCTACCTATGCCAGAAATCCCTCCCCTTAACATATTGATTAGACTGATTCCAGTTTGACTTCTGGCTGATGTTTTTTTAGGATGGTATAAAATGAAAAATAGTCCACAAATAGGTGCCCATATATGAACTGGTGCCTCTACCATATATGAATCTTTGAATGAGTCTTTCATGCACATGAAGTTGATATTATCAAAATTGGAACCTTGAAGGAGTTCGTATGTCACTCCAGTTTTCTGTGAAATGCTTTGAATTCACATAGGCAATATACTCTTTGCACAGTCCTTCTCCATAATAAAAATATCTCACTTGCATTCATCTTATACATAGCCATTATCTCTGATGTTCTCTTATTCAAGGAGCTGTTGCTGTTTCTTCTGGTGGAAAGTTAGCAGATGTGGAACAGAGCATCCGAAAATTCATAAAGAATGCATCTGACAGGGAGGGGGGAAGGGACCTTCGCAGGAGGAAGAAGATGGAGACAGGGGCCACATAAAGAGATTGAAGCAGATATGATATAATGTTTTGTTTTCTTGAGTTAGTTACGTTAAATCTCCCAACAGAGCTTCTGCTAAATAGAAGCAATTTTTTTGCAGTACTTGATGGTGCACACTATCTGGACTTTTTCCATTCTTTTTTTTTTCCAAGCAGTAATCATTCAATCGAGCAATCTCTTCCCTGTTGCTTTCATTAAATTGTCTACAAACAGGTGCCTGCCAACGATTGAATGATACTTCTACCCTGCATCCCAAGAATTCAGTGGTAAAGCAGGGTACTAAGTAAATTGTGGAAAGCTGCACTGCTCAGATAGTAGTTGTATTCTGGACCAGTTGCATTTTATGAGCTCCTTTCAGATGCCTGTGTCATTTTTGTGATATTTTTTTCATTGCTCAAGAATCTCAGGAGTTGCTGCAACTAGTCTAGTCACTTTTGGAATCAACTGTTATCATACTAAATTGCTCCAAGATTAATGACTAATAGTTACTTGGCATAACTTGATCTCAAAGACAATTATATCTATGAAAATGCCTTCCTATTTTGTGTTTATGACAGAAGGTCTGAATGGAAAAGTGAGAACTTATTTACTTTGATTTAAAATGATCGTTTTTTTATGAATTAAGTTGAAGATAAACCTTTCTATCTATGCATCCTCACTTTTAAGAGGATGGTCACAGGAATATTCACTGAGGATTTGAAAATAAGGGTCTCCCAGCAGAGAGCATCATCGATGGATCGATGGGCCACTGACAGCAAGTGTGACATAAATCGTGTCATGCCGCCAGTTTCGTCTTCGATGGACCGTCAACTGTCCTCCCGAAACGTAGCGAGCGGCCCAGCAGCGATGTGCTATACAGGGGCCAGCGCATGAAGGGCCTTCAGCGGGCCGTCGAGTAGCGGGACCCTGGCTACAACTGTGCCATAAAGGGTGCCATGCCGCTCGTGTCGTAGCTGGCGGGCCATCGCGTACATCTCCCAGATGTAGCGCGCGGCCCGCCAGCGTTGTGCTACCTGGGTTGTGCTTTTGTTATCCCAGATTCATGACTTCTTCGACCTTTGTATCGTTGCTTGGATCTTCTCCTTTTAATTTATGATACATTTTTGTGTTGAATCCATGGGATGAGCTGAGATTGAAGCAGTGGTTTGCAATGGCCGATGAATTTGGTGGAATACGGAGATATCTCATCGGAAATCACTGAGTTAGCGTGATGGCGGCCAATTTGTATGCCATGATGGCAGCTAGCTTTATAAAGGTATTTTCTTCTCAGAACCAGTCGAGACGATTCGAGGAACTCTGGATAGGCTTAATGTTCTCTGGGCCCACTGAAATGTTTCATGAAATTCGAGAAATACCTACGAGGGATATCCAGAAAAAAAGGTTACAAGTGCCCTGGAGGGTGCAGGGAATTTTTTTTTTCGAAGGTTGGCATACCTGCGTGTAGGGGGTTCCTAACGGTCAAAATAAGCCCGGGACCGCGTCAGTCAGTTGTGAAATGTCGTCACAGCAAGCGAGTTCAAAATGACGTCACTCTCGGGCAAGGAACTACCAGTGGAACGTAGTGAACTATGAGAGCAACGTACAGGCCAACACCAGTGTGATGTCATGGGACGTCGGGTGGAAGCCTCAGCAGAGCCGGTTGAGCCTCTCAGAAAAACGACGAACCCACAGACCCCGAGTTCCGAAGTTTAGAGGCCTAAGCGGGCTGTCGTCCGGACCGATCAGTCCTACTCGATCCGCGGGTCGGACTTAAAAGGATCGGTCGGCGTTTGAGCGTCGGATTCGAATCGGCCCAATCTGGTCGGGTCTGGTTCGAGAAAGTCGACCCGTGCATGCCTCTGGGCAGACAGGAGTGCATATATTATTATATAGGTGACAGTGCCCAAGTAGAACGTGGACGCTATCCAGGACGTTCAAATTGTGTACAATGAGGTTTTTGGGCTTCCGATGTACACATAATGAACACCCTTTGTGCTCTTAGTTAAGGTGTTGCTTGATAATAAAAAAAAACATACGGCATTTGAAGGACATTGGTTGAAAGTTATAGATACGTTTTCCTCAAGCATATCTATGGTATCCATCTAGCAATGGCTTGTAATAAAGGTTCTTACAACCGACTCTAGATGACACCAAAGTAGTCGCATATAGCAGGAGGATTCAAGATGCAGCTGCAATAATCCCTAATACCTTCCACGCGCTAGCCGATCTTTCCCTTCATAAACTAAAGGGAAAGATATTTAAACTCAAGACATTGGTTGAAAGTTATAGATACGTTTTCCTCAAGCATATCTATGGTATCCATCTAGCAATGGCTTGTAATAAAGGTTCGCACAACCGACGGATCTACTGTGGTTTCATCAGCGTATATCGTCCTCCTAAGTT